AAATAATAATATATATTGTATTTATCATGCATATGTTTTTATAGCCTAAATATTTTTTATAAAAAAATTATTGCATTTTGTTTACATAACAAACCCTGGCTTCTTCCACAGCCTTCAGACAACTTCGGAATCTCCTGCAACTCTTCTGGACAGTATCCTTTTATAAGTTGGTGAATGCTACCATAATCCTTGACTTCAGTTTATATTTGGTGTTACAAGGAATTTTGTTGGTCTCTCGCTCAACTGCGTCCCACATCTGATAATCAAGAGGTTGCAATCTGCGAGAATTAGGTGGCGAGCTGTAAGGGGTGATGTGGTTGCAGAAATTGTCTGACAGCCATGACTGGGTTCACCTGCTTGTGTGGCATGGTGCAGAGTTCTTTTGCCAGACATAGAGTCTTCTAGTAGCCACTCTCTTGAGCCAGGGCAGTACTACCTCATCAAGTCACTTGATGTAGGCCTCTCTGTTGATTCTGAGTTCTCACCAACAATTTCAGGAGTACTTTTCTTATTAGAACGATCTGAATGAGTTTTCCAAACTACCGTACCTCCATAATCACCATTAGACTCATACAACTCTTTCCAAATTCTCTGCACCTAAACACGCTGAAATGTTGGTATTCGAGCTACCGGCGGGATTGCCAAACAGTAGAACATTCCGTTTCCAAATTTCTGTCTGAGTGAATTTCGTCATGGTGCCTTTTATCTCACGACCCTTCTTTACTGTGCAATCGACAAAATCAAAAACAAACAACGCACATGCGCGAAATCAAAAATATAAAATTGCGACTATTTACCCATCGCACTTTGTGTATTAATTATGTAATACTTTTATTATGGTATTTTCCCTGGGTGTTGTATGGTTTTAGACGTGTAAACGTCTCGGGTATTTTCAATTTTGTCTTTCCGATTTGCTCCAACCTTCATATTATGAACTTTAAAATGAGATGTTACTTTGGGAACCTTCGTAATGAAATTCGAAGCTAGAAAAATAATGACTGTAAGAGAAGAAAGAGAAAAAAGTTGTGTCTAGAAAAGAGAAAAACGGTTTGAAAAAAAAAGTCTTCCACTAAAAAAAAAAAAAATACTTTTGGACTATTGTCCTCATCTTTGTTGTTGTTATCACGGCGTTTCGGCGGTTGTGACCTCCCTCTTTCCTTCATCAGGTATATATCACTTTGGGTAACGTACAGCGAATTCTGAACAGAATACTTTATTTAATTTACGGGGCTAGATCGTTCCCCTGATATTGTCTAATTCTTGTTTTTAGTGCTCCTCAGATATTGCTCGCCCTGTTTCCAATGTGTCCAAGACAACATTACCCAACCCAGGGTTTGAACTCACAACGACTCTGACAACAAATTCACGAACCATCGCTTTAAGCTACCAGGCTACCCCGTTGTGCCACAGAGGTTTATAATAATAACAACAAAGATGAGGACAATAGTCCTAATGTAAATAGTGCAAATAATGATAACTCCTTATCCTCGAAGTTTAGACAGAATATTAAAGATATTTTATCGCCAAAATTCTGAAGAAAACATCTACATATCACTGCCACCAATATCTAGTACCAATGAGACCAGTGCAATATTCAATAAGTCAAAACATACCATCTTCTATGCCATATCGGACGACCGCTGTCATTTGTAATTAGTGATAGAGTTGTGATAGATCCAAGGCTAGATAACATTTTCCCATAACATCATGCTGTATTATTAATGAATAAAACTTTGTTTAATTCACTATGCGACAGGATATTTTTAAAAGACAATCAACTAGGATTCTTATGGTATCAATATTTATTGAAAATATCGGAAAATGTGTAAACCTTATCCTTTTAGTAGTGTACGAACGGTTCCGTAAAAGGGTAAATTATTGACATTGAGAGAACAGCGACATTTGTCATCGATGATCGCTGCATCCTCAAAGCCAGTATCACTGACGCAACGTCATCTTGAGAGACTCTACCAATCCTGTTGTTAGATCAGAGTCACGCCCATTGTTCTGTACCTGCAAGTGGTGAACCATATATGGGCTAAATTTATGCACATATGCGTCGTCGTATGAAAACCAAAGTCGTGAGAGGTCTGACGCGTTATGAATAATGTCAATGTGCGGACTGAGAAAAGGATTTCGAAAGGGTAGCCAAAATAAACACTACCTGATTTAACCTTCCTCAGTCACATCGTCGAACAAAAAGCCATTTAATCTTAGACCGCTTCCCATCAAGACGTGACTATATAAAACGAGATATTAGACAGGCCACGCATATTTCCTCTACTATGTCAAAGACAGTTTCAAGGACCTCAACTTTTGTAGACACATTTTTGTAAAAAATTGATGGTAACATAATTCTAGAAATCAAGATTGAATTTTAAATTCAGAAAAGCTAGAAAATAACTCATTTTTCTATGTGCCGTGTTCTTTCAGGTTGTGAGCGATTGTGGTTCTCCACAGCTTCCTATCTATTGTGGCCCTTAGAAACACTTCTCATTTTGCCAAGTCTCCTGTCGCCCGTTTTGTTATCCATTTATATAAGCCCGTCAGGTAGCTGGCCCACTGCCTTCCCCTAACTTTCTTGCCCTGTGAGGGTCACGTTCTACAAGCCTTCCTTCGACATTATCTGAAATGTCAACTGCTTCTGTTTTTATCTATAAGTGATCTTTAAGAAGAGGATTTCCGACAAACAGGAAAGCAAGAATTAGCAAGGCATCCATTGTAAAAGAGAACAGAGATCGGTTCAAGGACATATTTCGTAAGGACAATTGCAGGGATACCATCAAGTCCATATGCTTTTTGGGGATGAATTATGTAAAAAGTGGACGGAGTTATATGCATATCATACAGTAGAAATTCAGCTCTAAGTGCAAAAGTCAGACAAAGTACTCCTTAAAAGTCAAGAGTAGAATGGGAAGACAATTTTCGGGCATTCATCAGCAGAAGATGGTAGCACTTCAAATTCATTAAAGAGAGAAGGAATTAAGGACTTACTTTTATTTAATGCATTCTTACAGAGCCGTCAGTAGTTACGAGACGCAAACTTGAGAGAGGATATGCTGTGCCTGACTCTATCAGCGAACCACATAGCCTCCTTGAGGACACGTTTGTACTTATTACCAGCGGACACAAAGAAGCGTCTATTGGGATAAGAGCTATCACGTTAGTATAACCAGAAATGGTGACTCCTGGTGGTATAGCGGCTGGAAAGACATGTGAACCAAGTAGAAGATTATGACTTTAGCTAGATGCCGACTTACACCCCAAAAGAAAACATTATATCAATAGTTCTTAATCTTTTTTAAAACACGCACCCCTTGAGTCACGGATCCCTTTTGTCACAGATCCCTTTAGTCACAGACCCTTTGAGTAACAGACTATATAAGAACTAGCCTTCAATAGACAAATAGAGAGACACGCAGATACTCACAGGCTGATTTTTTTTCAAAAAATTTGTATGTGCATTTATTGATAGTGCATCATCATGCACACTGCGAAGTCATCACTTTTCAGCTAACCACACTTGACAGAAATTATGGTCAACTAGACTCGAGACGACGGAGATGTGGTTCTTCAGAAGGATGCTGAGGATATAATGTCCCGAGCCTATGAGCAACGATAAGGTCTTGGAGAGGATGCAAACAAGGAGGAGGCCTATACTTAACATCAGGAAGAGGCAGCTGAAGTTCCTGGGACCCGTAATGAGAAAGGAGGGCCTGGAGAATCTGATACTCACAGTTCGAATAGAGGGAAAGAGAGACAAGGGAAAGCAGCGTGTGATATACCTTAAGCAAGTGGATGACAGAACGTGGTCTGGGGGAGGTGGCAGAGGGAGGAAACTTATTGTGAGCCACAAGGAATAGGAGGAAGTGGAGAGCCATGATTACCTACGTCCCGAAAGAACACGGCACATAAAAAGAATAGAAATCCTCACCACTGTATAAGAAGATGAGTCGTGATAAACGGTGGGAAATGAGAATTATCACTTGCAAAAGTGACAAAAGATGGCGGCCGAGCAGAGAATGATGATACACGTTTAAATGATAAACATTGACACAACGGAAATTGAAGAAACGCCTTGTGGAAAGTACTGTATGTAGTGGCTGGGTGCGTTTTCTTTTAAGTAGTGGAAGGCTGCGTTAACTTTATCTATTTCTGTGGGAAACCGTTGATCGAGACAAGAGATGTGTAGCAAAAATAAATGTTAATTTTTATCTGTTCTTCCCGGACCCCACCGAAACCCAGGTTCAGAATCCTTGCTTTAGAGGCGCCATTTTCAGCAGAAAGACTAACGATATCACTTTTGCCGCAGTTTAAAATAACAGATTAGGTTCGGATGATAAAGAAATGTGTTTCCTGGGAAATGTCAAATAATGAGGCTAATTTATCTTTAGTAACTCAAAAAACAAGCTAGTAAATTGTTGTCATCAGCGGGAGGCCCTGAATTTTCTTCAGTCATTATGAACGGTTGAATTACCAATGAAATACCTCCTTTGAACATTTTTGTTTTTTGGTAGGGGACACAATATCAGTCTAGACATCAAATGGAATTCCTATATAAACAAGCCATCGCTAAATCTTCTGGAAAAAATGGTCGAATTCTTGTACCTCTCCAGAAAGACTTCTGCCATACTTTTCTTTACAATAATAAGATCATGCTAAAAAAGGAATATTGCTGCCATATCCGGGATGGAGCTGCACAATCTTCATTCTCCAGCTTTAGTGTTTAAAGTCGTTTAAGCAGCACTTTTTTCCCAAATATACAAAGTCGCAAGCTTTTTGTTACTCTGTTGCTACTTCCAGGATAAAAGTTCAGATGAGCTCCATTCTTTAGTGCCACTAATTCAGACCTTTAAAACCAACACCCACCTTGTTACGTCCACGGGGTTGAATCACCCTCATTCCCCACATATTTCTCGGGTAAGAAGAGCATTCCACTTCGAACGTTTCTCCTCAAGAACGGCTACTTTATGGAACAGATTTCTGCGCGAATACGGCTTCTGACCATATCACGTTGAAACATCGGTTCCCGTACGATAATAAACGTTTAGCAACGTCGTGCCTGGTCAATACCCAGATGGGTGACCACTTGGGAATATCAAGTGCTGTAAGCTTGGATGTGTAGGTGGTGTAATAAATAATTGCTTGGAATCTTCATTCAAAAAGCCGAGTTTCGATTCCCGTTGGGTTTGTTATATTCACTTACGCGCAAATACACTTGGGAAATGTGTAAATCCACCTATTCCCCCAGCTATGGGTTAATTAGTATGACTTGTATCACTAAACTATTATTACGTTCAAAACAAAAAAAATCTTACAATCTTAAAAAATAGTTTCTGGCTTTAAATAGCCGGCAAAAGAGTTGATAAGCCTTAGAAAACAAATCATCCAACCAAAAAATCCTGCACGGATACTTCTCCTACATCTACAGTCTTAACCCTAACCCTAGCCTTTAACCTCTTCAAGTCTAAGGCCAATCGTTATCAATCCTATCTATCCTCATCATTTGCAGTTTTAAACTCCTTCTCTTATGTCCATTCAATAAATCTCTATTATGAGTGGCTCTTAGGGCTTTTATTGAGCGATCAATAGTCAAAAACGAAAACTAGGAAAATAATAAATGAATAATGATGCTACGAATTTGTATGAATAAGAGATTTCGACAGAAAAGTTTGAAAACTTGTGCATTTATTATTATTATTATTATTATTATTATTATTTCCTTTAATTTCTGGTGTATACTCATTTCTTTCCGGGGCCTGTTCAGAGACCTAAGGTCAAAAATGGCATCATTATATTTTCTACTGAGAAGTATTTGAAAAAAATCGCATATTTTACATGCATAAAGCCTTTCGTATTTTTTTTTTATTTCTTTAAGGTATGGGCTACCAGGAATCCCTTCAATGAGTCTATTGGAATCTTTTCCAATCAATCCAAGGGCTCCAACTACAACTGGAATCGTTGATGTGCTCAGGTGCTATATTTCTGAGATTTCGATTCCAAGGTCCTTGTAATTTGATAGTTTTTTTTTTGAAGACCTTCAAAGATACATTACAATCTGCAAAGACTGCTGTAACAACAAGAAGGCGCATTTTGTCTTTGCCGTCTTTAATCACGATTTCTGGGCGATTAGTTTTGATTGTTTTGTCTGTGTGTATTGTAAAGTGCCATAAAATTGTTACAGATCCTATTTCTGTAACCGGGTCTGGTTGGTGTTCATACCAACTTCTTTCAGTTTCCTTTCCGTAGATGTTGCAGATTTTCCAATGCAGATATTGGCCAACTCTGTCATGACGAGTTTTATATTCTGTGGGTGCCGATATCGCGCAACCTGATACAAGATGGTCAATTGTTTCCGGGTACTTATCACGAAATGTGCATTTTGAACTAACGCTTAGATTATTATTATTATTATTATTATTATTATTATTTGTAAGTCTGGTATTTTCATGTAAAAATGCTAGGACCCGTCTTGGAGTAGGCAATCTCTAAAGACTCCATTTTCTTTATTTCTTAGGCTTACGGCTATATCCCGTACGATCAGTCAGTATCTAGATGGGTGACCGCTTGTGAATTGTTAATCGGAGGGCCGAGATCAAATTCTACTTGGAAATTCACTTACACACAAATACCCCTGGGAAAGGGATGAATCCACCTATTCCCCTAGCTATAGGTTAATTAGTAACACTTGTATCACTGAATCATAATTATACCCAAAAAGTTCTTACAGTCTAAAAATATGTCCTGGCTTTAAATAATCTGCAAAAATGTTGATAAACCATAGGAAACAAACCAATCAATACTATTCTTTATTATCTGGGAATTATCATGGCGTTATGGGGAAAATAGAACAGTTTCCGTAGTCTTTTTAGCAGTTTAAAATTGAGAATATTACTTCTAGATTGGCTAGAGATACTACTGGTGTCTTTGTGGGGGGGGGGGTCAGATATCATCACTCCCACACAACATACAATTCTAATATTGGTGTGTGGGGAGAGATGGATGAATGTTTTTCCCAAATGCATTTATGCAAAAGTAAACCGCATCAGACTAGATGGAGATTTGAACACGTCTCGCCGATTTCACATTCCGCACCTATAGCCGGTGAGCTACTCGCACTTTCAAAGACGCTAGCATTAGCAGTTTTAATTAATATTCTCTAGCATTGATTTCTTTTATGTCTTTGGAGAAGGTGGGTATAAATGAGTTTACGTCATCAAGGGAGATAAACACTTACGGACTTAATGTTGCTAATTTTGGTTTTAATTAAGGAATAACTAGAATAGATAATTATCCCAAACTCAAAGCGGTTTGACGTGAAGGCTTTGCGTTCAGTTCCCGATGTTCTTCTTCTATCTTTTCTTTCCTTTGACTCGATATATGCTTTTGTTCACGACGCGCAGCTGCCATGCTTGAAAGAATAATATGGAGGATTCAATAATATTTTATCAATTTTACTGCTGTATGTGATATTGAAGCAAGGTTTTGAATTAGTTCTTGCTGGCAGACTAAATTAAGCTTTCGTCTCCAACAAAAGAACTCGTAAACTGTAATTTGAACTCGCTAAACAAAGTATTATGAAACAGAAAAAAAAATCGTTAAAAAAAGCGTGATTAACTGCTACAGTCAACGACGAAATTATTCGTACACCCATCAATTTTGAATATTTTCATCCATTTCTCAGAAACTAATACCCGTTTTTTACATGTTGATAAACACAAAACAAAGGAATATGAGACGCAATTTTCAGAATAATTTAAATACAACAAATTTGACAGGCGAATTATGCAAAACAGCAAACGAAAAAATTATCCGTACAGTATGAAAAATAGAAAAATTGAACAATTGTTACAATATAAGTCAATAGCATGACCTTTTATCTTTATAACTTGCTGGAATCGTTTTCTAGGATTTTCTTCTATTCTTCAATGGTTACACGTTCTAATTCTTGAAGGTTTTTTTTTTTTTTTTTGGTACTGACTATTTATTCGAACTTGCCGTAGATTTTTAATAGGATTCAAGTCGGGACACATTGAAGGCCATGGCGAGCTGTAATCTTTTCTTATGAAGGCACGCAGTCACTGATTTAGACGTATCATTATTTTGCCAGAAAGTAAATCGCCGATTTAGATGAATATTTTGCGCTGATAGTTGTAGATTTTCATCCAGAATTTTTATATAATTTGTAGATTTCATTATTCCTCCTATTATAATTAATTGTCCAGTCCCCCAAGAGCTAAACCAACTTCCAAAACATCATCGAACTGCCTCCAAGTTTCAATGTTGCCACTTTTTTTTTCTTGCGCCAAATCTTCTGTACATCATTATGCCCAAAATTTCAGTTTTTGTTTCATCACTTAGGAACTTGTTTCCAAAGGCAATTTTCTTTGTCCAAGACCGTTTTGGCAAAATAAAATCGAGCAACAATGTGACATGGTTTGTGAAGAAGATTTCCATACAGCCCATTTCTATTTATACAACGTTTTATTGTGCGAGTACTTACCTTGATATCCAAAATTTAGCGTTGTCTTTCAAAACAACTCTTGGCTTTTTATTAACCTCGCAAGTTTTCATGTAGATTTTTCCACGCCCAGGCAAATTCTCTGTCGTGCCAAACTGTTTAAACTTCTTTAAAACGGACTGTACTGCAGCTCTAGGGACAGCTAAAAGATTTGAAATAGTACTGTAACTATTTTCCGACTTGTGGAAGTTAATAATTCTCTGTCTCAAGTCAACGCTAGGCTCTGTTGTCTCTCCCATCTTGTTGTAAACGTAAGAATAACAATGGTGACACTCTATGCACAACATGATGTTCTTTGCTGGAATTATCACAAATATCCTACTGAATAGTCTAGAAAGCTTTACTGATAAAATAATTATATAAATTACTTATACTTACACAAATCAAGTAATTTAAAGCGATATTTTCTACTGTACGAATAATTTCGTCCTTTCCTATTTTGCATAATTCTCCTTTCAAATTTGTTGTATTTAACGTATTATTCTGAAAATGCAATTGTATATTTCTTTCTTTGTGCTTGTTAATATATATATATATATATATATATATATATATAAAACCCGTATCATACAGACATTAGATTCCGAGAAAGGCATAAAATTATTCAAAATTGATGAGTGTACGAATAATTTCGTCATTGACTGTATGTAATATCATTCCTGTATGGTAGCAATTGCTAGATAAATTCTTCATAGATGAAGAGATTTGAAACAACCGAGATGTAGTTCTACAGAAGGATGCTGAGAATTCTTTATAGACGGATTCTCAGCATCCTTCTATATTTTTATACAAAATACCAAATCCGCCGTAACGTAGCCTCCTTGTGCTCTCACCGTAATTTTTCTCACGAGCTTTCCTCTTTGGCAACTAGACTTTACGAATTTAAGTTCAGTACTAGTTTCCTGGAAAGGTTTCATCATTTTACAACCCAAATAGCTAGATGGAACCGTAAATTCTATGTTAACAGATTCTTCTCTCGCACTTCTCGCTTGTCAAATTTTCTTTTAGCCTTTTGCAGTTCACTAAACTTTGATCTTGAGAAATTCAAATGCAATTTCGATCGTTAACTGTCTTCTTAATTTCCGTTCTTTTATTGTTTCCTCTCCTTAATAATGTCTTTCTTTTCTCATATTCTTTCACACTCAATAATCCCCTGTGTCTTAGTGGCATTATTATCTTACTTGGGTTGAAACGATTAAAAAAATAAAGCGAGAATATAATGGTTGGAACATGGATGCAACGAATTCACTTTAAGCAAAATAAAACCAAAATACATAGAAAGAGAAGTTAAAATCTCTTAGAAAGACAATGAAAAAAAGAAGGCTTAGAGAATCTGATACTCACATGACATATTGAATGCATTGCAAACATCGAGTAACCTACCTAATGAGCGTGTGTAACTAGATGTCACAACATGGACTAAGAGAGATAGTAAAGGGATGAACACTAGTTAGAACTACAAAGAATAGGAAGTTGTGGAGAGCTTTAAATAACACGTTCTGAAGAAACATGGCACATAAAAGAATGAATTCTTTAATAAAAGTGACAGCCAGAAGATTTGTGCTCATTATTTATTTGAACATACCAAACA